ATCAGTGTCTGACCTCACAAATGTACTTCTGGACGAATGGTAAAAAAATTCCCATAAATGCTCCTAAACCTTGTGGAAAGTCTTCCCAGAAGAGTTGAAGCTGTTAAAGCTGCAAAGGGTGACATCATATTAACTCTATGGATCAAGAACGGGATGTCACTCAAGTTCATGCGTGTGAAGCCAGACACGCAAATGCTTTTGGCAACATACTGTAGCTGAACTCAGTAACCTCGCTGTACGAACCGAGAGGAATCTTGGACCACGAGCAGCTCCTCGTGCACCCACCATGATAGATAAAATAAGCAGAATAAAAGCCGTGCATGAATGTAGACAACTAATACCAGTGCAGTTACAACGTCACTAACTAGTCACGCTATAAATAATGTCAGCACTTGTTCTGTGTAATGAGATTTTATGGTGGTAAACAAGAGTGTGGTGTAATGTGCCAGGGCTCATTCAACACACACGCCTGCTGACTGGAACTCCAGGCATCTAAACGCTGTTGCATGATGGGAAAAAGTGTCACGACACAAACGCATTCTTAGCTCCAGCTCCGACAGAGCCTGCCCGGCTCCTCCCACCTGCTCATCTGAAGTTTCCTTCCCCACATTCCTGCACAGACATCTGTCTTCCTCCACTTACACCCTATTTCTATTTCAGGCTGCGTAACCCCGACCCCGAAATTCAGGATAGTTTGTCCGATACTCAACACATGAAGCTCCTCGGGATGAGTGGGACTGCAGCTCCCATAATCAAACTGCTTTGTCTGCTGCAGGGTAACTGGGACTAATATTCAGTTTAATATCAGTGATGTTGAGATGAGGTGACACGAAGCACTGAAAGAGATCTCAGTGCACAGAGGTAATATAAATCCTCTTACCATCTGCCTCTTGTTCTCTATCAAATGAGCGCCGATAATTCCCAGAAAAGAGCCAAAGCCCAGCTGAAAGGAGAGAAAACAGCCGTTAGGGCATTTATCAAGCTTTGATTTCAGAATCTTGATTGCACAGTGCAAGCTTAGCACACGTCTGATATATCAAGTATTAATAATACTTATCATAATCCTACAGTTGTTGTGATTTCTCTTTATCTTATGATGCTCTCTTTGTAAGTAAATTCCAATATCCATCCATT